TCTGCTGGTCTGTCAGTCTGTCTGTCTATCTGTCTGTCCGTCGGACTGTCTGTCTGTCTCTCTTTCTGTCTGTCTGTCAGTCTGTCTGTCTGTCTGTCTGTCTGTCAGTCTGTCTGTCTGACCACTGCAGTCTGTCTGTCTGTCTCTCCGTCTGTCTCTCTGTCTCTCTGTCTGTCTGTCTACTAGTCTGTCTCTCTTTCTTTCTTTCTTTCTTTATGTCCGTCTGTCTGTCTGTCTGTCTGACTACTGCAGTCTGTCTATCTGTCTCTCTGTCTGTCTGTTTGTCGGTCGGTCTGTCTGTCTGTCAGTCTGTCTTTCTTTCTTTCTTTCTTTCTTTCTTTCTTTCTTTCTTTCTGTCTGTCTCTCTGTCTTTCTTTCTTTCTTTCTTTCTTTCTTTCTTTCTTTCTTTCTTTCTTTCTGTCCGTCTGTCTGTCTGTCTGTTTGTCTGTCTGACTACTGCAGTCTGTCTGTCTGTCTCTCTGTCTGTCAGTCAGTTCGTTTGTCTGCCTGTCAGTATGTCTGTATGTCTGTCTGTAGGTCGGTCTGTCTCTCTGTAGGTCTGTCTGGATGTGTGTCCCTGTGTTAGATTGTCGGTCTTTCTGACTGTTGAACAGACAGTCTGTCTGTCTGTATGTATGGATGACGTGCTCACACACACACATACACACACACGTTGTTGGACGCAGCCCTGAAGTTGGCTACTGCGTGCCATAATCTACCAAACGATAACCCTTGCAACACTGAATGGCCCGCAGTAGCCAACCTTGCAACTGAGGCCGAGACACACACACACACACACACACACACACACATATCGATGACGTTTTTGTGYGTTTCCGCTGGCAGAGAGAAGAGGTCGAAAGACAAAGCATTTGCATCATGTCGATGTCGGTAGCACAGGTGGCGAAGGCTCTCGCAGAGGTGATGAAGTATGCAGAGGAGCGATTCCACTACAACGACCGTGGCGAGTTGTCTTTGGTGGAGGAGAGGGTGCCACAGTACTTTGCTGTTACCGTGGATATGAGATCCACGATCATGGCCAACGGCAGTGGTTGCGTACAGGCACGAACACTCTTGGAACGATTGAGAGAGTCACCTGATATTCGTGTGGACAGCGACGCGGAAGACAGCCCATACAGTCTAAAAGGAGTGGTKCAGTGGATGTGCAGCGAAGGCATGCGCRACGAAGGACTTGTCGACATGTCAATGCAGCAGAGAGGGGGGACCTATACACCTGTGGCTTTCAGGAAGTTCATGGTGAGTGTGGCGAAGGGATGGGACATGCTTGTTGAAGGGACGAAGGACGAGTTGAAGAGGGGTGTTGCAGAAATACTAGTGCTGTCCAGAATCAAGGACATGACACAAACACCGCCCCACGACTTTCAAGAGTTTCCCATTATTGTTGCAGACGGTGTGGAATACGTTCTGCTTGACCAGCTATGTGACCTCATGGGGAGGTCAGAGGCCGACAGAAACGTCATTCATGAGATGTTGCACGAAGTCACAGAGTATGCCGTGCAGGGTCGAGATGTCATTGAGTTTGAACCCGCGTCGGCAGGAGAGGAGATCATTAGTGGCAGACCATTGTGGGGGGGCTTGTTGGGTTGTGCTCTGGAGCGGCTTGGTCTTGCAACCTGCGATGTCGAGAGACAGAGAGAAAGGGAAGAGGGTTGGAGGATGATTGCTAGTGAAACAAGGTTACCGGTCATTGAAGAAACCGGGGAGACATCAGCAACACAAGATACGAGCGGGGCGATGGTGGTTGACGTGTCTACCTTGTACACACCATCGACAGAGGAGTTGGTGTATATGGACACTTGTGAGCGTTTCTTCTTCGGGGAGCAGCAGGAGGACGAGCACACAGACGATGCACAGCACAGAGTCGATGCAGAGGAGGAGGATAAGGAAGAGTGCGAGGGGTCTGACGTGGATGTGAGCGGCAGCGACGTCAGCAGCGACGAAGCGGACGACGACATACGACAATGACGTGTACTACGATCTCAAGACAGCGGGTGGACAAGTAACCAAAGGTTGGGCACATGCAATCCTGAGGTTGGCACGAGTATTTCCCAATCCGCACAACGTGCTGCGTGTGGTGTTCAAGGGGGCGACACCTGATGGTGCCATGCAGTATGCTGCAGTGACCACCATAATGCGATCCTGCAAGAAGGGGAAAAAATGGTCACGTATCGGCAAGGCATGGTTTGTTCTGGTGAACAGAGAGGCTGTGCTAGCAACATCGCTGACATGGGGACTGAACCTGAGTTGCCTCCTGCATGGCGCAGTGGCCACAGCTTGGGGAGAGACATTGCACCCCGGCTTGTCGACAGGGGACGCAGTAGTTAGTGCTCGGCCACGGCACCACACACATACACACCCACACAACACGATAGACCACGTCAGACATCAGGGATGATGCGACACATGCATAGCACATGGCATCACGGTTGTTGTACAAACAACCTGTGTATGTGTGTGTACACATGGATTGCTCAACCTGTACATCCCTTCGCTTGTACATCCCTCTCCCTCCCCCTCAGTTTGACCGACCCTCCGGTTGACTACTGTGTACCATATTCGTGTTCACCGGTGTTCTCTGTCGGAGACTAC